ACATGCATCTTTGTATGCTAGTGGTCGCTCTAAGAACCCTTGGGACTCTCCTTGCATACCCAAGTGATCACACTTGTTCTGCTCCCACATTCACTTTATGATCCTACTTTAGACTTCAGTTTTTTGACACGATTTATATAATTCTTAGATTGTTGTACATCTCTCATAGGTGTTATAATTTCTATCTCTCCTCTAAATTAAGTGAAACCCTCCTCCATCACTGATATGTCCATCAAATTTTAGGATTATGATTATCTTCTATGGTTAGAGCCCTTTGATTCTTTGTCACATCACATGAAAATTCAATCATTTTGATGGCCTTTCAGATAGCAAACCTTAAGCTGGTCAAATAGTAAGCTTTTGATTATGTTGTTCTTACTCAGTGTGGCTCCTTAAGAACCTTGAACTATTCATTGCATCTTTTATCATATTTCAAGACATTGCCAACAAGTTATGAGACTTTCTTCATTCCATCTATTTTTAAGATAGCAATATCTTCTAGATATACACTCTCTATGATGACATTTGTTCTCTCCAACAGAAGAACTTGCCAATTCAAGAGTACTATTACATATTGATGGAAGTATGATGAATTGCTCCAACATTATCTCTTCACTATTGATATTGTTCTCTAACAAAAATATAATTAAGAATTTTGGGTTGCCAAACTATTTTCTAGAGTTCATCCCTTTTTGTAAGGTATAAAATCTCAATTAAAGGCTTATTCTATCATGCAAATGTTACTAAGCTTTATCTTAAGTCTCTTGCATCACTAAACTATCAAATTCTTCATATTTGACCCATGGTCACTCTATCTTTGCTCTAATTCACGATGCAGGAGAGGAAGACGTGGTTGGGGAGGACAAATTGGTGGTGATCGTGGCTATAAAAATCTCTTTAATTTATGCCTATACTGTAGTTTCACTATGATCCTCCTGAATATGTGGGATTGATATGGCTTTCTTTCAATTGCCTAACACATATCCACAGACAACTTTAATTTGCTTTCATTTAGTTCAAGCTTTCTTACTATGCCTCTCGATTATTCTAATAGACGAAGGCCTCTCTCTCTCTATCACTTAGTTTCTAAGGCAATCTTTTCCTTATGCTTTAGTACTATTGCCTTTACTAGTATGTTCTGGATTTTTATTCAAGAGAATCTTTCCACATTATATATACCAATAGTTATTTTCTTTGTTGCATGTCTTCTTTGCCACCTTTCATCATTACAATAGTTCCCTATCCTTGGAAGGAATTGTTGACCCTTCTCAATCCTAGTCATTATGCGTCTTGGGATCGCAGCATTTTTTGTTCATTATCTTACAAGCTATTGTTATTTTGTAACGTTTTATTCTACGCATTGTCTTTTAAGACCTTAGCTCAATGAAGATTGTTTGGAGGGTATTGAATCTAGAGGCATATGCTACTTAACAACTGATAATTCTTTTTCTTTTGCTTTCACTATTATTCCTTATCAATGACATTGCAGTTGGACTATCCTTCTCCTTCTCGATATCAAAATTTTGTTAGGTCTCTTCCTTCTAAATTTGAATACCTTGTTTGTGAATTGGGCAAATGTTGTCATATATCATTTCTATCATCTAGTACTAGTTATTGTCTTATTTCTTTTGAGTTAATTCATTATGATATTTGGGGTTTGAATCATGTTATGAGTTCAAGCTCACTTAAGGTTTAACTATTTATTTTCTTTGTTAATTATCCTTCTTGAGTTACTTGGGTATACTGTAAAATATTTATGAAAAGCCCTTTGATTTATTTCATAAGTTTCATTAAGAAATTAAACTCAGTTTTCCTCCTTACCAAATGTTTTGCACATTGATAATGCTTTAGAATACTTGCAAGCTCAATTCCATCAGAACCCGACCCGGTTCGGGTTCAGGTTGACTCAGAACCCGACCCGGTTCGGGTTCAGGTTGACTCAGAACCCGACCCGGTTCGGGTTCAGGTTGACTCAGAACCCGACCCGGTTCGGGTTCAGGTTGACTCAGAACCCGACCCGGTTCGGGTTCAGGTTGACTCAGAACCCGACCCGGTTCGGGTTCAGGTTGACTCAGAACCCGACCCGGTTCGGGTTCAGGTTGACTCAGAACCCGACCCGGTTCGGGTTCAGGTTGACTCGAACTCTGAAATTTTCGTGTCGGGATCGGGTCGGGGTTTCGGCTTGTGTCTAATATTGACACCCCTAGCTTTTAATTTAAAAAATTACCTTCTTAATTAGACAACACATATCTCTTAACAAAATGAAGTCACCAAACATACACATGGTCATCTCTTTAATGTTGTTAGGACACTTATGTCTCATATGAATATGCCATGCCAATTTTGGGAACATGTGATCCTAATTTCCTCTTACCTTACTAATTGTGATACTCTGCAGTTTTCAAAAAACATTTCCCAATCCACATTCGATCTCCCAATTTGCCTATTATTTCTCTTATTATGTGGGTGTTTGGTTCTTTTTTCCATTGTTTATTTTTTTGCTTGCATGATAGACTCTCTTCTTGTATCACTCCTTGTATCTTCCTTGGGTGTTTTTAAATTCAAAATTGATATAAATATTATTATTGTTAGCAAATATCTATATATGTCAATGGACATCACCTTTCATAAGAATTCTTATTTATTTCATATTGCTACTTCTAAATCATTAACATATGTTCCATTTTCTCTTCCTTTTCTCTCTGCATCTCCTTCTCTACAAGGTGCACTATAGAATAAATAGTCCACCTCCAGTTGCAACACCTCCTATCATCTCTTCTACGTCTATCGAAGTTCCCTCTTAAATCGTGCCTTTAGAGCTACAACTTCTTATTGCACTAAATTGTCATAAATTATTAACTATTTTCATTCTATTCACTCATTCATGAACTTTGATCATTTATCCCCATCTTATCATTGTTTTTCCTTGTCTTTAAATGTTAAATCTATGCTTAGGAGTTAGGACATGTCTAGAAGCACTTCTATGTCTTCTATGGAAATAGACAATGGATGCTTAGATGAGCATTCTTCATAGACAGCAAACATGTGAATTGGTTACCTTCCTGTAATGTTAAACCAATCGCTTGTAGATAGGTATTCACTCCCACAATTTGACTTGATGGCTTTATTGATTGATACAAAGCTCGATTGCTTGCCAAAGATTTTATTTAAGTCCATGGGAAATGTTATATTGATATTTTCTTTTCGATTGTCAGGCGCCTAACGCTATCAGAATTCTAATCTCTATGGTTATCATTCAAGGTTGGCCATGTTGCAAATAGATGTTAGTAACCTCTTCCTTTATAGTGATTTGAATGAAGATGTATATATGGATCAACCAACTTGGTATGTTGCTCAAGGGGACATACACACATGCTTAATTTGGAAGGCTACTTATGGGGTCTAGCAGAGTCCATGGGCTTGTTTTTACAAACTCTGTAAGTTTCTTGCAAAAATTGGCCTTTGAAATACCAACTGTTATTTTATCTATGATAAATATAGAGCAATATGCTCAATTTTTCTATCCATATATCTAAATGATATACTACCCTCTGTAAGCAATGGAAAAGACCCAAGTAAAATACTACTTATAGAATTGTAGTGTAACTGAAGATCTTTGGCACCAAATAATTTCTTGGTATTGAATTTATTTATGTCAAGAGAGGAAATTCTCTATCGTAAAAAAATGTCACTGATTTTCTTGAAGAATTTAAACCTCTAGGTTGCAAACTAGTCGACACTCACGTGGATAATCAAATTATATTCGATGAGGACACACCATATGATGATCTATCTTTAGTTTAGAAGGTTCATTGAAAATTGTTTTATTTGAAATTTATGCAATCATATCTTTTGTTGTTTAGGTCTCAAGTCAACTTATGCAAAATCTAATATAAATGGATACTATTCTTCACATTCTTTTATGCATAAAGAAAAATTCTGGAAAGGGGTTATTGCCTGCTCATATTGGGTACTTAAATATTGTAGCATTCACTGATGCTAACTATGTTGAGTCTGTTGATTGCAAAAAGTTGATTTTTGGGTGCTTTATTTTTGTGGGAGGCAATCTTATTGCCGGGAAGACTTAGGCTTCGTTTGGGACGATTTTCTTATGCTTCTTAAAGCAATTTTATAGCACAAAAAATTTTATTTTGCTAGAAAATTGCTTTAAGAAGCAGTAAGAAAGCCGTCCCAAACGAAGCCTAAGAAGCAAAATATTGTAACCAAATCCAGTGCTGAAATGGAATGTAGAGCCATGACTTATTCTACATATAATTGAGCCAGGACTCTATTAGAAGGGCTCTATTAGAAGGGTTTAATTTTCTAGTAATTGAGCCTATGGCTCTGTATTGTGACAATCATGCAACCATATTATCAATAATCCAATGTTTCATGAAATGGACAAACATATTAAGGTTGGTTGCCATTTCATGCAGGATGTTTTGTTTTTTGAGAAGATTGTTACTCTTGTTTGCAGATATAAATTGGAGCTGGAGCTTTGGGTATGAACTGTGTTTGCTTTGTTTTCTTTATAGAGTGTATCGGTTAAAATAGTGCATATTTATGATTTTTTGGGAGTATTTAAACTCCTTGTTTTCTCTTCGCAAAGAGGGTAACGCCGCATGAGCTAGTGTTTTGTTTTATTGACTACTTCCTTGGAGCAGCCCATTGATCGAGTTAACCAATAGTTCTATATTTTGGTGTTCCTACTATAATTTTAGTGCACTCTTTATAAAATTATAAAGAAATGTCTTCTATTATGTGATTTCTTTTTTATTCCTGCCTTGTATAGGTTTTCATTAAAGGCCAGGTTAATGTATGATCAGGAAGGGGCTAAGAGATGGGTCATTATAACTATTTGTTATGCTTTTTTAGCTTTTCTTTTCCATGCTCGGGATCTTTGAAAACCGTTTAAACCAAAACTGCCTGCATTTACTGCTTGCCTTAATTTTCCTTTACAGCTAAACTGGGTAGTTTCTAAACAATAAATAAATATCCAGATCCACTACTTGTTCAAGCAGCTAGAGGGGATCTTGTCAGCAGGCCTCCAGCATGGATGATGCGCCAAGCAGGAAGGTATATGGCTGTATATAGAAAACTTGCAGAGAAACATCCATCATTCAGAGTGAGGTCAGAGACAGTTGATCTCATTGTGGAAATTTCTTTGCAGCCTTGGAGAGCTTTCCATCCAGATGGTGTGATAATTTTTTCTGATATACTTACTCCTCTACCAGCATTTGGTGTTCATTTTGAGATAGAAGAAGTAAAAGGCCCTATTATTCAGAACCCAATTTCTTCAGAGGATGATCTGAATAATTTGCATTCCATTGACTTGGACAAGCTTCAATTTGTGGGAGAATCTCTAAAAATCTTGAGATCCGAGGTATAATAACTTAAACATTAGTTTTTTATCTTTTTCTTGAGGCATTATTTCCTTCACCTCGGTTATCTACCGTTTTTTCTGCTTTAATCTTGATTTTAATTTTTAGATATTTTATTAATTATAAATGAAAGAAAATCATCTGCAAACAAAGAATCATGCTTTTTTGCTTGTATCCGGCTACTGAACCAAAAATTGATGCCCGCTTTTTGACATATTGCAAATACGACCTTAAGACCACCAATGATTAAACTTCTTCGAGAAGAAGGATGATAGGTTAGGCTCTCAACTTTTTAAAAGAGGACACTAATTAATGTGTGTGTGTATGCATATATATATTCTTGTTGTTGTGTGGCAGAAATGAAAATATTGAGATGCTGTGGTAAAAATTATATAATGATAGAGTTAGAAAAGATTGTATTAGAATATCACGGCAGTAACACCTATTGGTAATAACTAATAAGATGGTGCAAAATAAATTGTGGTGGTTAGTCATGTATTATGTAGAATAGAAGATGCACACCTAAATTAAGTGAATATATATATACTATAGCAGTATTGTGCTGAAAAATGAGTAGACCATATCACGGCTAATAAGTATGCAAAAGATGCTGCAAAATAGAATTAAAAATCTTGTAATTAGCATGAATGAATGGAGGAGGGTTTCTAAAGCCAGCCTTATATTGTTGTAATAAGGATTATAAAGACTCTTGATGATGATTAATATTCATAAAATCTTATTTTTGTCTTAATCATATTTGTCTTTCATTCCTTATAGGTTGGGGAGCATGCAGCAGTTCTTGGTTTTGTTGGGGCACCCTGGACAATTGCTACTTATATTGTGGAAGGGGGTACAACTCGGACTTATGCCAATATTAAAAGCATGTGTCATACTGCACCACATGTGTTAAAGTCTCTTCTTTCTCACCTCACACGAGCAATTTCTGAGTATATTATCTTTCAAGTGAAATCTGGAGCACAATGTATACAGATTTTTGATTCATGGGGTGGGCAGATACCTCCAAATGCTTGGGAGCAATGGTCAAGACCATACATTCAAGAGGTATGGTTTTCAATTAAGTTTTATTTTATTCATCAGGGATATTTGTGTCTGCATGCACGCTTAACCTCATTAGGCATTCTTCCTTAATGTTAGAGTCATAGATGCAACTGTAATATAAGGTTAAGGTTTTGCACATCAAGTCCTTAGATCTTATTTTAGTATGAGCTTCATGTAATGCGATAGGCCTTTTGTTCATTCTTAATTATTAAAAAAAACCACTAAGAAAGAGCTTACAAGTTCTCATTTGAGGATTGCTCTTGATCATTACATGACAATGAAGGTTTTAAAATGGCCTTAATGGGAATTCACCTTTACTCATGGAAGTGAATATTCAACTATACAAAGGTTTATTTGAATAATCTAATTTAAAGAAATACACTGATAAAAGATATATTGGGTTTATTAAAGAATTATGTGAGGGAGCAATAATTATCATTAGAAGAAATTGATCTAAACCATTGTTCTTTCATCATCTTTAAGTGCTACATGAGGTGTTAATTGTATTTTTTGCTGGTCATTTTTCACAACTTCTGGTCATAGCACTTTGGTCTTTCCTCTTTCCTAATTATTTAACAGTGATTCTAGTAACTTGAGTACTAGATTTATAAGATCATTTTTCTGCCCTCCATTGTATATTTCATTGGTTTTATTCCCATTATTTGTTTAATATAATCGGTTATCTTTCTATCCTTCATGGTTTTACCACATATCCTTCATAGTCTTACATATATCGATCTACTATAATACTCAACTTGGATATTGACTTATTTGTTTTTGTTTCTCAGATTCATTGAAACAAAGTCAATCTAATTGTAGTTTAATGAATCTTACCTTCAAATCTTAATGATATTCTTAAAAATAGTTATGGAGTGGCCAAAGGGTTTTTGATTGTATTAGATTTCAATAATGTTTAATAATGTTTTTACCAACCATTAAAAAAGCGGACGAGGCGTCTGCATTGAGTTGCGCCTCAAGTCGAGGCGGAAGTCATGCGTATCGGGGCTTACGCCTCGAACCATCCTGCGAAGCCTACGATTTTTTTGCACGAGGCGTACGCTTCAGAGCGTAATGCCTCGAGGTAGTACGAGGCACCGCTTCAAAATTTTTTCTTCGGTATATATGTAAATACAATGCAGCCGATTCGTATTCGCGTATCGGATTAGGGCTTCCTGTGAGAATTGAAAGGCGAACTGGAGGCGAAGCCGTGAGGGAAAGAGACGAAGTCGTGAGAGAAGGAGACGAAGCTGTGAGTGCAGGAGACGAAGTCGGAAGGAGACGACGCAGGAAATGAAGCCGGAAGCAATAACGGTTTCGAAAGCAGGAAACGAAGCCGAAGTTGTGAGTGCAGGAAACGTCCAGGCCTCGATTAGGTCGGAAGAGCAGGTGAGCAGTGTTGTGGGCCTTGACTTTGATGTGCAGTAACGAAAGCTTGAATAACTCCTGATTCGACTTTCTTTCATTCATCCGCTCAGTACATGCTCGGTACTGCTAGTTATCGCTAGGTACCGAGCAAGTATATGCTCGATACTGAGCGGTACATGCTCGGTACCGAGCTAGTACCGCTCGGTACCACTAGGTACATGCTCGGTACCGAGCCACTGCACTCATGTCAATATGGAACCATGTACAAAAGTACCTGATGAGGTGAGAAAGGAATGTATAGATTATTTAAAGAAAATTTCCACCACAAAAGGAGGTCACACAAATAAATATGGAAGAGATGATAGGAAACTCTTCTTACTATGGATCACAGCATGAAGGTTCTAGTACTGGAAGCCATCTAGTTTCTTCTGACCAAGGCAGTCGGGGGCCCATGGATAGATTTATGCTAAATATTGATAACGAGGAAAACATAAATACTCAGGATATTCAGCCTCCTACAGCTACAAAAGAACTCAGGAACATAGTTTGTTTGGATATCGCCAGATTCATCTATGAAAATTGGATTCCATTTAATGTTGTTAGGAGTCCGTCATGGATCAATTTATTACGATCTGTTGAAAGTTATTGAAGAGGATAACAACTTCCAAGCATGTATGAGCTGAGGACTTTGGATGCTGAATGAGAAGGTTAAGACAACTTCAAAAATGGTGGATGATGTTAAGAAGACTTGGATTGAGACATGAGTGATAATAATGTTAGATGGTTGGTCAGATATTCGACATAGAAGTATTATTAATTTCTTTATCAACAATCCATATGGAACAGTTTTTCTCAAATCAGTAGATGCTTCAAGCTTTGTAAAGGATGCACAATTATTGTTTGAAATGTTGGATGAAATTGTGGAGGAAGTGGGAGATGCCTTAGTAGTACAGGTTGTTACTGATAATGCAAGTGCATACAAAGCTGCAGGGAGAATGTTAATGGAGAAGAGGCCTCACCTTTACTTGACTCCTTGTGCTGCACATTGTATTGACTTGATGCTTGAAAGGTTGGGACAGTTGCCTCAACATAAATCATCCATATTGAAGGTCAAATTCATTAGTAAGTTTATAGACAATCATTCTTGGGTACTCAACTTGATGAGAAAATTCACCGACAAAGAAATTATTAGACCTGCTGTTACAAGATTTGCTATTGCATATTTAACATTCAGAGATTCGAGGAGTTAAGACAACCTTTGGAAGCAATGTTTGCTTCTAAATAGTGGGATAAAAGTTCATGGGCCAAAAAACAGGAAGAAAAACAAGTTGAAAAGATTTTTATGAAAGATGATTTATTTTGGCCTAGTACAAATTATGCTTTGAAGACAATAGGACCATTAGTAAAGGTGCTTAGAATGGTTGATGGTGAGAGGGCCCCGACAATGAGATTTATTTATGAAGCAATGAATAGGGCTAAAGAAGACATTGTAAAAGAATTGGGAGGTCAAGAAAGTGCCTACAAAGAAATATGGGATATTATAGATAAAAAGTGGGATCGACAATTACACAAACACTTATATGCTGCTGCGTACTATTTAAATCCCCAATTTCATTATGATAAGGATTTTCATGTTGACAAAGAGATGAAAACTGATTTGTATGCATGTATGGACAGACTAAAACTGAAGAAGACTACCTCAAAGTGAATGATCAACTTGAGAATTTTCATTTGAAAAAGGGAATATTTGGATTTAGAGCAGCACAAGCATGCTACAAAACACGATCTCCTGATATGTTTATAGTTTGTGTATTTATAATTTTAATGTTAATATTTATGTTCAAGTCTTCTACTTTAACAAATATTCATAAAATATTATGTTTGTCTTCATGTAGAACGTTGGTGGGCTCAGTTTGGAGATGATGTTCCTGAATTGAAAGCTTTTACAGTTAAAGTTCTTAGCCTAACGTGTTCGGCTTCTGCATGTAAGTGTAATTGGAGCATCTTCAATCAAATTCATACAAAGAGAAGAAATCGATTGGCGGCAGATCGAATGAACAAACTAATTTATGTTATGTTTAACAAAAAACTGAAAGATAAACATCTCAAATTGTAGAATTAAGGAAATATTGAGAATGACATTGACCATTTGTTTGTTTTTGAGTTACAATTTGATGATGAATGGGTTACTCATAAGAATGCTGATGTTTCTGAAGTTGAAGTAGAAGGAGAAACATGTCAATAAAAAAGACAATGAATCAACTACCCAAGTATATAAAAGAAATAAAAAAAGTGAGATTGAAGCTTCAAAAAAATTCAAAGGTATTCTTAAATATAATGAATTGTTTGTATGTTACTATTGTTTCATTTTAGAGCTAATGAAATATTAAATGATATAAGAGATAAATGAAAAAATATTATAGATGAAGAAGAGTTTGAGGATGACTTTGCCATTAATTATGGAGGTTCTTCTGAAGACAATCAAAGTGATGATGAGCTTGCTTTGGGTCTTGATCCTAAGGGGATGTTTTATTTTTAAGTGAGTTTATTTTAAATCTTGTATTCTAGTAATATTATCTTGAAACAAATCTTCAAATTCATAGTTGACATAATATTTTGTTATTTTTTGTCATCTTTAATAATTTTAAATTAATTTATTTTAATCATTTTGAGGCTTACACCTTGATCCGCCTCGAGGCTTACGCCTCGCCTCGATTCCCGATTTCGCCTTTTAAAACCTTGGTTTTATACCTATGTTTATTTAGTGAGTGTATCTCTTAACTGGACATAATGAAAAAAAAAAATGATTCATGTAGTCAACCCCACGTTGTAGGATAAAGACTTGATGTTATTATTATTGGTGTTGTTATTCAATAGAAGTTTATGAAGATGTTTAAAGTGAAATGTTCTGTATTTATTATTTGAGATCAATGTTTAAAATTGCGTATTCGAGTATTGAGGCATTTTTCATTCGTGAGGCGAGGCGTAAGCCTCAATGCATTTTGAGGCGTAAGCCTCAAAATCAAAAGATTGCGTAAACATAAAATAAATTTTTTATATACTAATGAGTGAATAATATAAAACATAAAAATGCGTAAGATATGAAGTGAAATCAAAATATCTCAATAATAAGACAACATGAAATATAATTCAGCTCAAAATTTTATCTTTCCCAAATCCCAGTATTCTTTTCATTAACATATAATTCCAATTTCCAAAAACAAATAGTAATGACATATCACATAAGAACTCATAAATCATCAACACTGTTAGGGCGGCAAGAGAATTAAACGTTCGACGAGCTACTCGTTCGGTTCGATTAAAGCTCGTTTGTGATCGTTTAATTAACTAAACAAACAAACTTGAACAATATTTTAAATACTCGATTCTTAAATAAACAAACTTGAACACTAATACGTTCGGCTCATTTATGTTCGCGAACAACATCATTTGAAGTGCTGATTTTAAGCGTCGAGGTGTTGATTTTGGAGGTAGGCGGGGGGAATATGAAGGTAGTGGAGATTTTGGAGAAAG